AGGGATTAAAGCTGAGATATAAATCATGCAAGAACAAGGAGCCACAAAATTACTCTCCTCACCTCTTGAGAGGACAAGGTATTTTCTGGTAGTCACAACAAGAAGATGAGAATGGAATTTGGTGAGAATGATTTTGGCCCAAATTAAGCACAATTATTCAAGTAACCCAAACTATTTAAGATGATGGTATCTTCTGCTTTGTAGCATGGACTTTTATGGATCGGAAGCACAGGATAGTTCATGCAGTTTTAAGGATCAGCCAGTTGTTATACTCTCGCTCTGTGTGAATGTGTATTTTGCTTTTCAAAGGTTACCTGCTACCATTTTGTGCAGAAAGAGACTGCACAAACTATGGGGAATTTGATGAGAGAAAAAATCGTGCTTTGGCCTGGAAGGGAGATACCTCAAAGTGAATGAAAATTCCTTTTCAAGGTATCCTGTTGAGTTGAGAAACCCAACAGAGATGCAAATGAAGAATGTAAAGCTGTGTAGAAGGCCTCTAAAGGTACTGTAGGTCCTCCTCTTCACAAAGTTTACTCCACACAGACAAGGCAACAAAAGTGGTAATGGAAGAAGCAGGCAGCATGTTTAGCAAATTACAATCATAATGCCTGAATATTTCAGTATATACCAGTAGAATCCATGGTTACACATATATACACATAAATACAATGGTCCATTATGTTACGCACAAACTTGCTCTAGAGAATCATTTAATGGGAACATGTTTCATATACTTGCGACATATAATTTCAGAACAATTCATTTCTCCTATCTAAAATAACAGTTATATTCATTTGTGCTGAAAAGCAATATTTTACTGACTAATGGAGCTGCAAGCCTAGTGTTATTTTGATGATACAATTTCATATTTCAGAACAAAAAAGATAAATACAACATTTTTAACAGTATAAAATGGCCATAATCAAACAGCAGGCAAGTTTCTGCTGTTCAAAGGAAAGCTATATTGATCTCAAGTTGGGAGTACTCTCCATCTAAATAAGCAGGGAAGCCTGTTGATTAATGCTTTATATTTCTTTGTTATAAAATACTGAAGTGTACTTCTCAGAAATGTAGCTACTAGAGTTCATCAGTCATGAAAAGAACAGTTTTTCAGACATAATTGTGATAGTTCAACAAGAGCGCATGTGTTTGTTGTGTCTTTGTTTTTAAATGTTCACATATAACAATCTTTCTAACCCTGCAAAGAAAATCAGTGGGTTTTTGATGTTTAAGAGGCCAGGGCCTGCAGAACTAGATTGGAAGGCACAAAAATGACACATACAAGAATAAACAATAAATATGTCTCTATTGCGTTGTCCATACCACATACCAAGCAGCCAATTTTCTGAAGAAAATGAGAAGTGAAAGTTGCATTACAATTTAACTTGTTTCTGCTCTCTTTCTGAATAAACCGATATGGTTTGAGGTTTTCTATTTACCTACAATTTTCAGCGCAAACATGGATGAGGTAAACTGCTGTCAAGATACTGGGAAACTAGGGGTCACGGTTTCTGTCACTCTTCTAGAAAATAAGGCCTTGATGTTTGTGCCTAGGACAAGCTGAGTGGGAGAAGGAAGGGAGAGTACCCACTGTTAATTGGTAGGCTCTTGGCATGCTGTCTGTAGTTTGAGTGACTGGGAGGGAATTTTCTGGGTTGGGGTGATTATCTGTCCAACACTAACCAATTGTTCTTTCCAGATTTTTGAAATTCAAAGAGAGCTCCGTCTCCCTTAGCTTTAACTTCTTCATACATGGGCCAAAACAACAAACAAACCAATTCTCAATCATGTATATGCTAGGAATGCATAACTGCAGCTCACATCAAATGTAATATAACATTTTTTCCAATACATTAGCTAGTATAATCTCAAATCAAGGTGCTTATAAAGTCCAGAAGGATAAATACTGAAAGCATATCCCAATAACTCTGAAATAAGCTGAGAGTTCTATGCAGAGCAGGTTAGTGGCCTATGCATATAAAGAGGAATCCTCAAGCACATTGCAAGTACAGTGGACCCTTGACTTACAGACGGCTTGACTTACAGACTTTTTGAGTTACAGACTTCTCTGGCCGCAAAATTTAGGTTTGACTTGCAGACTGAGATTTGACTTACAGACCAGAAAAAAACCAAAATGGAACAAAAACGGCCTGTTATGGGATTAATCGGTTTTCAATGCACTGTAGGTCAATGGAGACTTGACTTACAGACTTTTTGACTTGAGAACCACCTTCCAATACGGATTAAGTTCTCAAGTCAAGACCCCACTGTATATTTCTTCAGATAAATTGGTGCCCAGATAAACGACACTAATTCAGGGCTAGTGTGGTAGAGAGGTCAGAATATTGGATTAGAAATCCCCAGATTTTGCTGCGTGCCTCTTAGTTACAGTGACTCCATGAATGAGAGACCTGCAAAATGTCCTGTTTCAACAGCCCTTCTCAGCTCCTGGAAACTCAAGCCTGTGGCTTCCTCTAGGGCAGTGGTCCCCAACCTTGGGCCTCCAGATGTTCTTGGACTTCAACTGCCAGAAATCCTGGTCAGTAGAGGTGGTGGTGAGGGCTTCTGGAAGATGTATTCCAAGAACATCTGGAGGCCCAAGGTTGGGGACCACTGCTTTAGGGAGTCAATCCATCTCATGGTTGTTGTGGGTTTTTCGGGCTCTTTGGCCGTGTTCTGAAGGTTGTTCTTCCTAACGTTTCACTCTGTGCTGTCCTCTGAAGATGCCGGCCACAGAGACTGGCAAAACATTAGGAAGAGCAACCTTCAGAACACGGCCAAAGAGCCCAAAAAACCCACAACAACCATTAGATCCCAGCCGTGAAAGCCTTCGCGAATATAAATCCATCTCATATTTGATCTTCCTCTTTTCCTTCTCCCTTCAACCTTTTCCAGCATTATTGTCTTTTCCAGAGAATCTTGCCTTCTCATGCCCAAAGTAAGACAACCTCATTTTCATCATTTTTGTTGACAGGGATAGTTCAGGCTTGGTTTGCTCTGAGACCCACTTGTTTCTTTCTTTATTTTTATTTTATTTATTTTATTTGATTTATACCCTGCCCATCTAGATCAAAGGTCTACTCTTTTTTCTGGCAATCCAGGATATCCACAAATCTGTTCTCCAACACCATATTTCAAATAATTTTTTTTCCTTGTCAGAAATCTGCAGCTTTCACACCCATACATGGTGATTGGGAATACAAGAATGAAGATGCTCTTTGTCCTAGTCTCCAGTGTCACATCCTTACACTTGATTATCTCTTGTAATTCCATCATTGCTGCTCTTCGTAGTTTCTATCTTCTTCTGATTTCTTGGCTGCAGTCTTCATTTGAATTGATGATTGAATCAAGCTATACAATATTTTCATTATTTCAGTTTCTTCATTGTTAACATTAAAGTTATGCAGTTCTTCTGTAATCATGATTTTGATCATGTTCAGCTGCACTTTTGCTATGGCACTTTCCTCTTTCACTTTTATTAAAAGTCATTTCAAGTCATTGAATATTTTATCCTGCATTTCTCCTTAAAAAGGACTCAACTGCAGTCCTGCTTTGGCACTTCCTTCTTTCTCTTTCACTAAAATCCATTTCAAGTCATTGCTGCTTTCTGCCATTAACATGTTGTCATCTGCCTACTCTAAATTAGTGATGGTTCTTCCACCAATTTTCACTCCTCCTTCATCTGAATCTAGTCTGGCATTCCATATGATACGTTCCATGTAAAGACTGAACAGATAAGTGAATAAAATGCACCCTCGTCTGACACCTTGGCTATAGGAAACCATTCTGTCTTTTATATTCTGTCTTAACAGTAGTTTCCTGTCCACAATACATGTTACACATCAGGACAATAAAATGGTGAGGAACATCCATTTCTTTTAGAACAACTCATACTTTTTAAATGATCTACACAGTCAAATGCTTTGCTGTAGTCTATAAAGCATAGACTGATCTTCTGATATTCTTTGTGGTGCTCCAGTAGCTAGTGGATATTTGTAATATAATCTTGCGAGCATATTTTTAGAATCCAGCATGAGCATCAGACATTTCTAACTCCATATAAAGTAAAATCCTTTGTTGCAACACCTTGAGTATCACTTTCCTTGCATGGGAAATTAAAGCAAATCAGAAGACCTGTGTTCAACTCTTCACTTAGGCATAAGACTCACTGAGTCAGTCACAGTATTGTAGCTTGACTTGCTTCACAGGGATGTTGTGAGAGTTAAGACTGAGGAAGAGAGCCATGCAACTAACTAACTGGTTACCATTCTGCGGATGAAATCTTGTTGCTTGGCACAGTAGGTCCTACAGTGGGGAGTTGATAAGATAACTCCTCTATAAGTTAATTTATTCATATGGGCCTACTCTAGTTGCATCTTACTTTAGCATAGTAAGTCGCAAACAGAGTAAGCCCATTTGAATCAGTTGAATTTATGGAAGATTTGATTCACCAACTCCCTAATGATTCAATAGGCCTACTCTAGTACAACTTATTATATAAAGAAGCAGAATTTCAGCTTGTATGCACAGACCTTTATAAAGAAGATGCACAAAAAAGGTCTTTGCTAAGGAAGAAAAAAATGAACCTCTTGGAATAAAGAACCAACAGTAAAAATACATTATTTACATGCAGGGAAATTGAAATTAACATTGTAACATCACTACATAAAATTCAAGTACCTCTTAAGTGTTTTGTGAAATTACAAAGCAATTTCCTGATATGTAAAAGGAGAAAGAGAAATCAGTTCAAGGCACAGAAAAACTAAAGCTTATAACATCTGAAGACAACAGCAAAAAATCAAGATGATCCATTAATAAGAACTGAACACCATTTCTGTCATTTTACCTTTAGCATTAACTACATAAGAGATACAAAATATCCTATTATGAACACACACAGTTGATACTATTAATGAGTACATAGTACCAAAATCGTAGTGGGTAGATACTTCCACAGGACCGTAATCTATTGTGCATAGTAAGAAAAAGGAACCTACCGGTTTTAGGATCAACAGAGAAATATGGCTGTCCCTGAAGGATACTATACACCACCCGGGCACTGTTTCCATAGGTGGGGTCATCTGCATCTGTAGCTGTCACCTGAAGAACTGAGGTACCTGTAATAGCCAGTAAATTATCACTTAGTTGACATACACTGACATTTTGCAAAATCTGCAGACCCAATCATTTTTCTTAAGACTAAATACAATTCAGCATATAGTATTATACCATATAATAAGTGATGTTCAGAATCAACTCTTTCATTAGTTCAGTGGCTCAGTAGTACGGACATCTGACTGCCTCCAGAAATGAGGCATAATTTTTTTCCTTGCCCACAGCTTGGAACTAATATGTTGGAATTAATAGCTGGCTTCCTATAGTAGATTTATGCTGGTGTAATGGCATAAACTGAAGCCCTGAATTACCATTAATTAATGAGTTGCTACTTGCATTTTTAGTTACATGCCAGCATTGCAACCTGGAGCATGAGTATGAATGCAAGTGGCAACTAATTAAATACTAGCAATTTGCCACTAGAAATTATGCCATTAAATTTATGCCTCTGTAGGCCTGCCTACCCCTGGATTCTGGGGAGTGATGTTATCTTGAATGTGCAATGTATAACAATGGTATAATGATGTTTCTTTTGCAAAAGCATTTAATGACTAATGAAAGATTTATTGTTACTATTTAGTGTACAGTGGACCCTCGACGTACACACGGCTCTACGTGCATACTTTTCGAGGTCCGGACTTCTCTGGCTGGAAGAATCAACCTACGGACCGGAAGGGGGAGGCAGGGAAAGCGTCAAATTCAAATTTGGTGGTTTCCCCGCCTCCCCCTTCCAGTCCGTAGGCTGCCAATCATGCCTCCAGATGACTTCCAGGGCTCCTCTGCCACCATGGGAGGCATCTCGGAGGTCCCCCGCCACCACCGATCGTGGAGGCACGATTGGCATTGGGGGGACCTCCGAGATGCTTCCCATGGTGGCAGAGAAGCCTTGGAAGACATCTGGAGGTCCTCCACCGTCGCTGCTCGGACTCCTGGACTTCCCCAACTGCTGCCGCTGGGAGGTGTGCCACGCTCAGACAGCAGCAGCTGCGGGGGACGTCCAGCTTCAGAGGCACTATCAGCAGTGGCGGGGGACCTCTGAGAGGCCTCAGATGGCGGCAGGGAAGGCCTTTGGAGGTTCCCCCCGCTTTTGCAGGCTTTCCCAGGGTGGACCGGGCCTACCACTGGAGGGCTTCTCCCGGTAGACCCGGTCTACTACCCGGGAAAGCCTGGAGAGTAGACCGGGCCTACTGAGGGAAGCCCTCCCCTGGTAGGCCCAGTCTACCATGCTTTCCCAAGGAGTAGACCGGAGCTACCAGGGGAAGCCCTCCCGTGGTAGGCCCGGTCTACCCTGGGAAAGCCTGTGTTGGCAGGGGACCTCTGAGAGTCTTCCAGCAGCAGCGATGGCGGCAGTGAGGGACCTCTAAGAGGCCTCCGGCAGTGGCCAAGAAGCCCTCGGAGGCCTCGGGCAGCGGCAATGGTGGTGGTGGGAGACCCCTGGAAGGCTTCATAAAGGTAAGTTTTATTTATTTTTATTTTTGTGTGTGTGTGTGTGGGCCAGTTACGGATTAAATGGTTTTCAATGCATTTCTATGGGAAATGCATTTTCGACCTACAGACTTTTCGAGCTATGGAAACTGTTCCAATATGGATTAATTCTGTAGGTCGAGGGTCCACTGTAAGCTCTAACTTGCAACTAATGATTATGGGGGGGGGTCTTCCTTTATTTACACTCAATAATCATCATTCTGTTTAACAAAGTTACATTGCTCTTCACAGTTTCTGCTAATTATTGCTGCTAATTAATGAGCTCTCCATGATTTTTCTCGTTGTGTACCGGCCATGTGACTGGGAATACCACTAGCACTATGTTAATTAGCAGCAATTCATGGCCACAACTTGTGCAATTTTGCTTATGCATGAGTAGATCACCAAATTTATGGCCACCATAATAATGCACATTAAAAAAACCAAAATGTTCAAAACCACTATATACATGCAAAGTACTATCATAAAAAAAATATTCAAGCCTGCTACCACCCACAATTATCAGTTCACAAGGAATGACTGTGTTACAAAATTAATAATGAGTGTACATAATTGTCTCTCAGGACATGTAATGAACACATATTTCAACCTTGTGCACACAAATTAATTTGAAATCTAAGAGATTAAAACTGTTTAAACAAACATGGGACCTCAATTTGTGATTAACAAATGTATACCATACTCCAACGCTCGTGTTCTTCTTTTACTGACTTATTTTTATTTTGCTTATTTCATACATTTGTATACTGCCTGATTAAGTGGCGTGCACTACTATGGGTGGTTAACACTAATTGTAGCCCACCCCATCACCCACAATCTCAAACACTCCGGAAAATAAACAGAGTGAAAGTTTTTTTTTAAAATGAAAAGTTATGAAATACCCCCAAACACTAACGATGTCAGTACGGACAGAGAAAAACCAAATCCCACCATAATCTCAGGGAAGGATGTGTCTGAATGCTTCCTTATAAAGCTCTCTCTTTAGCATCCTTTTAAATCTTCAAAATGCAGAGCTGGAAGGGACCTTATGGATCATTGAGTCCAGCCCTTGTTAAGGAGGCCCCGTGGGGAATCAAACAATCTCTGACTCTGCAGCCAGGTGCCCCAACCACTGAGCTATCCAGCAATTCAATGTAGTCAAGGAAAGAGCCTGACAAGTCCCCAATGGGAGCCCATTCCACAAAGATGGAGCTTGAAATAAAGAGAACTATTTTCACCCCCTGATTAGAAATGGTTTGGCTCAGATTAAGTCAGGGTAAAGTTGAGGTCATTTTGTGGGTCATTATCTTAGGAACCAAGAGATAGTTTGGAAACCTTCCTCTAAGCAAACAGACAGGCCTAAGATCCTGAAAGGGAAACGGTATCTTGGATGTTCCCTTGACTCTCAAGATATTTATGTAGTCTTTCCTTCTGTGGCAGTGGAGAGTGGGAAGGAGATAATCACAGGCTTTGTATAGGCAGAGTGAAAGTATTGAAAGCCCTGTACTATAGTCGGACACAAGGGAATATTCAGACCAAATTAAGAAAAATCTGCAAACCACTTCAGTCCAGGTAATGCTTAGTGCAAATAACACAAATAAAGCTGCTTTACTGTGTGAACCTCTGATGACTCAACACATCTGAGGAGTGGTCTGTATCCTTTAGAAGAATCCATCAGCCTTTCTATGCATGCTGTATGAATGCATTGCTTCTTAAAGGGAAGGACATGAGTCATGTGCAGAGACATTTTGAACAAATTATGCCCTGATAAGGCTTTCATTCTTTCTCTCTCACCTGTAAGAAAGAAACATCACAGAACCTGTAAATTACTGACCAAGGTGCCTTGTTGGATTGAGGCAGCCCAAATCAACAAGGGCAAATAATTTCAGGGGTATTCTTCATATTTCTTGCTCTAAATAGGCTCTATTTTGATTTGCCTGAGCACTGGAAAATCAGGGGTTAAAGTTGTACATTTAATATTTACTGCAACCTGGCCCTAAGCTTTCTGTCTTCCGTCCTTCCTCCCTGAGTGGATAATCAGGACTGACCTTTAGTCCACCTCTGCCAATATCTTGATGCAGATTAAGCCTCTATGTCAGTTTCAAGACAAAGATCTAGAAATCTTAGTCCAAGTCCAAAGTAAAGGGGCCAGCTGGAATTAGCTGGAAAGAGTCTGTTAAATCCATAGCATCAATCTACCCAAAGTATTGAAGGCCACTGATTTTATGTTCACTCTTCTTGGAGCATATAAGATAATTGTCCTGCCTCTGCTAGCAGTAAAGGCACTCTCAATGCTAGTTTTCCTGATTGTAGTAGTTACGGAAATTATATTGCAATGGAGTCCACTCAAACTGTTTTTTGAATGCATTTTTAAACAAATCAGATTGTTTTTAAATTCATTTGGAGTGATTATGAATATCAAACAATTTGATTATTGATGGTGGCTTGTGGACTAAGCAGGGAAGGGTTCAATACCCCCTATTTTGTGTTGGAGCACACCCACACCCACACACATACACACACTGATCTTGAGCCACTTATGCTTTTTGCCTCATTCCATAGCCATGGTACAGACCTCCATGCCAAGCTACTAGAGTCTCCCATTCTACATTCAGGAGAAGGTGTAAGTTAATTATTAACTATGTTCGTTATTTTACTATAGGTTTACATTTGGTAAAAAGATTGGGGCATTTGGAGAAGTGATCAAGACTGGTGTTCCCTGTGAATCTTATGTGGACAGAGGTTATATAGAGAGAAGAAGACTAGACATAGGATTTTTCTTGTTCCAGGACTCCCAACCCCAGAAGTCACCTTGAATCTCCCAGATAGACTTTTGGGACTGGGAAAAGACAAATAAGGGAGTAAAATACTGTAAAGGGCTATTGACTGCTTTACTACATGTGCTTTGGCTAGGAAGCAGAAGGGAACACCCCCCGTGGTCCCACTGCTTGTGGGGAGTCACTTCACTGCTCCATGGGTGGATAGTTTGTTGAGAAGCTCTGCCTATGGAAGCTGCAAGAGTCACACTCTTACAAATAATTAAGGATGAGGAGGTGCTTGAGAATTTGTAATGTAAGAGGAAATTTGCAGCTGCACTTTTCTTGAAAGTGCAGTCCTAAGAACAGGGTATTCCATTAACAGCAAAATCCTGCCTCTAATTCTTAACATGTTTAAGATATATCAGAAAGCACAAATTACGCTCTTTCAGAGAACCAGTCTGGAAAACACTTTGACTTGTCTCCCTTGCTCCTCTATACTCACCAGGATCACTCCCAGAATGCCCAAAATCTAGATCCAATTTCTAATCCAAAATAGAGTAGACTGACTAAATCAACTGGTGAATGGTAGATCAAGAATATGTATATATGATTCAATAGGTCTACTCTAATTGGGAAGAATAACTGGATTAAGACTAGAATGCCGAAGTGGAAGCTCTGCANNCCTCATCATCCAGTGAAGATCCTCCATAGGGCGGCCATTTTCCAGTGCCTGTAAAGTGAACAATCAGTCCTAAACACAGTGGGGAGCCATTTTGCAC